CCTAACATTCTGTGATTCTGTGAAAACAAGCATTCTGATCAATTTTATGTTTCTTTCAGGATTTAAATGGTGTCTGAACATAAGTGGTCTGATTCAGGCACTGAAATCTAAACACTGACAAGTTGCTGAAGATGATAAGAATAATGTATAGCTGGCCTCTGCTTTTTAAGCACTAATCCTCTAGGATTTATAATTTATCTCCAATTTAATTGCAATTTACTTTTCTGATAATGTATTCCCAGATTTTCTTACATTAGAATTATTTCAAGAAAACTAAGTTAATTCAGTTACAAAAAAAGAAAAAGAAAAAAAAAGAAAAAAAGCCCAGCAGAACAATTTAATTTTAAAATATTTTCCAGATAGAATATTTTGTGACTATTGACAAAAATGTCTTAATGATGGCATCCATTTTTTGATACTTATTTGGTTTCAGCCAAGCCTGATGTCACTGAATTTAATATGTTATTGTTCTCACTTTTAAAAGCTCTAAGAAATGAAGTAATCATTCCAGTCTGCTCAGTCATTGTTTAACATTGTTTTCATCCAAACAAATCATACCTCTGGAATGAAACAAACTTATACAGTAGGTAGCTGACAAAAGTCTCGCTTGTGTAATTTGGCTTCACTTCTAGTAATTGGCTGTGAAGAGCTGATCCTACTCCCATGAGCTTAATTGCTGACCTTCATTAACTTCACTGTAACATTTTATTTCCTCAGTGTCAATTAAAGCAGGAAATGGGTAGTTCTAAATTAATATTCTATGATGAATGTCTCTGGCAACTTTGCAGGGATGTTTCAACTGAATTTATGTAAAATGTTCCATACATTAATTTCAGTTAAAATCTGTTGACTAGTATTGTTCGCTGAGTTACATATTTTACTTGAAAACTGTTCAAATGGCAACAGTCACTTGATTAAACTTTATAACATACAGTAAAAAGTGTATATATAGTATGATGAGTCAAGTATAAATGTAACTGTAAAGTCCTGTATCTGGAGCATCCTAGGTGAAAGGAATGTGGGGGTCCTGGTGAAAAACAAACTGAACATGAGACAGCAGCGCACCACTGCTGCAATGAAGGCAAATCGGATTCTGAGCTGCATCTGCAGGGACATTACTAGAAGAGACAGTGGCATGATAATCCTACTCAGGACCCACCTAGAGTCCTGTGTCCAGTTCTGGTCCCCACGATTCAAGAAATATGTGGACAAACTGGGGAGAATCCAAAGGCGGGTCACAAAGATGATCAAAGGGCTGAAGAACCTGCCCTTCAAGGAAAGACTGATGGAGTTAGATCTTTTCTCCCTGGAAACGAAGAGGCTCAGGGGGAACTCATAGTAGTATTCCAGTACATGAACATATAAACATATAAATTCATCGAGGCTGATTTCCCACAAAACTTGTACCAGATGATCTTTTGAGGTCTCTCTCAACCTGGGCTGTTCTATGATTCCGTTCTGTTCTATGAGTCTTTCATCTGAAAAGTAGTGGAAAAGCTAGACTGATGTGATCAGACTGCTAACTGAATGATTTTCTGTTTGGGTTTGTGTTTTTTTTCCTCAGATCCATTGGCCTAGTACACCTCTGCAGGCAGAAGAATGCACAATTAAAGGAAGAGATGCTGTAAGTATCATTCATTACAAATCAAATATACTTTAATTACACCACTGGCTGGTTCAAAACAAGAATTCAGGCATTCCTAAACCTTAGAGAGATCAAAGCACAGATTTAATTCTAAGTATTACAGCTTAAAAATGTGTAACTACTGTGAACACATTAAATTAATAGCTTAATTGCTTTTCAAACCAGTTCATAAATGGGCAATGAACATTTTTGATAATCTGAACTTTCTCCTAATTCTTTTTCTGGCAATATCAAAGAAGATACTTAATAATAATCCTTTCCTATGTCTATTTCCCTTCTGTTTTCATACACATAGGATATCTTCTCCATTCAAACTTTTTCATATTCTTCTTTACCTTTAAAATTCACTTTCTCTAAGATACTTTCAAAAAAGCACTTACATTATTAGTACTTATAAAATAGACTCTAAATTGTTTTGCCCTATAGGTTTTTTTGGTATAGTAATAAAAATATTCTGTTTCAATAAGCCCCCAAACTGCTCTGTTCTTGTTATCCAGTGCTTTGACTGTAATCAGTTCCCAGGGAAAGACCTGAAAGCTCACTGACATACAGCAGCTGATATCCTTGGCACCACAGGATGAAAGTTTTTCTGGATGGGCGCTCTCCTTAATTTTGCAGTGCACCAAGCTCATTATCTGCAGCTCATAAACACATAGCAAGTACAACACCTAATAAATCCCACAGCTGAGAGAGCTCACACTGTACCAAAGGATTTGAAAATGCTGATAGTTTTACAGCAACAGGAATGTAAGGCATAGGAGGACTCATGCACAGTTTTCCCACAAACAGTGAACAGGCAGCCTTGATGATAACCACAACATATTCCCAGTGAAGATTAGAAAACTGTAATGATTCCTGTTGAAGTACAAGCATGAGAACTGCCTACATCAAGGGAAGTAGTGATCCAGATTGAAAAATATTATCTATAAAAAACAACATGATACCTTCCTCTTTATACTCACCTGGCCTAGAACTGATCTTTTTTGATATATCTTAAAAGTTCACTACATTTTTTCTGATTGTTTTTGTACCCTTGAGAATTTCAAGTGGTTTTGGTTGAAAATATTATTTTTCTACATTACCCAAACTTTGTGGTCATATTAAATGAATCAAAAACATAAACTCTGAGCTTTACATAATACTACCTCTCATTATAGGCTGTTATTACAGTTAAAGCTCTGTCATCTTTCCTTCATCATTACATGATGGGATTTATTTTCTGATACTTTGACAATATTCTTTGAGTTGAATAAACACAGAAATACATGTTCCAATGTAATGTAAAGGTATCCTCAGACTCATAAGAGTCATAGAATCATAGAATGGTTTTGTTTTGTTTCCTTAAAATTCAGAATCTTTTACTATCCAATCTGCTATTATGCGCCTTCAAATTTGCATTGTAACAAATGTGATCATTTAAAGAACTTCGTATGTTTCCCACTTCTCTCTGTACTGTAAAAGTTAGGTGCCTTTTTTTTTTTTAAGAATACTACAGGATTTTAAAATAATCACAAGACTTCAGAACTGGAGTCTTTAATAAAAAGATGGTGAAATTGTAAAAGCTGGAAATACTGTAATACCAAACAATAATACACAATATCCTGATCCTCACATGAGACATAATTATGTGTAGGACTATGTGAATAACTAAGACTAATTAATTCCATGGAAACCTTAGTAATTTTCATTAGCATGTTCAGTATTCAGTAAGCTAAATTGCTCAACCTGGAAGGAATATAAATTAGAATCAAAACCTTTCCTATTACTTTCCTTTTGACTTTAATTTTCTGTAACCATAAACCAATATTAGCTTAATAATATAATGTCTTAAAATTAACCCTTTATCATTCCTAAGTTCTGAATGCTGTTTTTCACACTGTGACGTCACAGAAAATAAGTACTCATCAGTGCTCTTTCAAACCTTTTTTGCTTATTCCATGCTGTTTCTTTCTTTATTTTCCTTTGCAAAAGATCTGTTAATCAGTGCATAATTAATATTCAGTAGAATTGAAAATGTAGTAAGTATCTCAGTGTTGAGGTACTTCTTGTGTTCTCTGCTAACTCTTCCCATGTTATAGCACAGGCCACTTTTACAAACTCTTATAACCTTTAAGAGTTATCAGTTAATCTTGCAGCAGTAAAACTGCAAGTATGTAAGTCATAAACACAGTTTCAGGGAGCTTGTAACAGACTTAACAGGACAGTTAGAAAAGCTTTGTCTTAGCACCTGCATCGTCTTAAACTCAGGCCACACTATTCTGATCTGGATCAAGCCAAGGAAAAAATCCATCTGCTCTCATCCATTATGCCAGGAGACATCTTTTGGGCTGTGGTGTGAAAGCTTTTGATTCTTTCATTTATTTTATCGGATTTGGAAAACTTTCAGATATAGGAAACAAGTTTTGTAGTGATGGCTAACTCCTTCACACCAAGAAGTTTTAAATAAATTAAATTCCACAGATGGAACCTCCTAAAGGAAACAACAACAACATTTAATTAATTAATATAGTAGGAAGAAAGCTTATTTTCTTGTTCTCTTGTCTAATGCATCTCTTCCCTGTTACGTGTACGGGATATTATTAGTGGTGCCAGCAGCAATGCCTAGTTGCCTGACACTTCCCAGAATAGCACCTTTTTCCATTTGTTTATAAATGATAAAGTCTAGCCATTTGGAATGACTTTTCTCTATATTTGGTATCTGCCTTATCCTGTTTGTTCTGCAGAAAATTTCAGGCATTTCTATGAAGGCATATAGGAGAAAAAATGTGTAATTTCTGCCCATTTTAAAAAAAATCCTAAGATCTCTCTTTCTCCACAGTGTTTTTGAGACAAAGATCAATGGGTGCAGTTGTATGTGGATAAAAAAGGAGACGATATAGTAAAGGCCAGACCACCACTGAGAGAGAAGCGAGGGGATAAGTCAGGAAGTTCATACTTAGAGGACAGAGAGAATAAGGAATAGCATGAGTGCCCAGTAAAGCATCTATTTAAAAACTGCAAAGCATCATAAAATTCCTGTCTGTTCCACTACCACCAGTCAGAAAATGTTTGTGAAATGTACTTCTGTCTTTTAGTGCTGATCCATGTATAGAGGATCACACCCTACTAATCTCAACTCATAAGTCATTCTTTTCTCAATTTGTTTTGACAGTTCAAGTAGCAGGTCTTTTTCAGTGGTTCTAAAAAATTTCGTCCATGAGAGACCATGTGGATGCCACAAGAAGGAAGACCTTTTTCTTAAGTTTTCTTTTTTAAAAAGGGAATAAATTAGTTAAGAAATAAGAAATTCCAAAAGTAAGATACTGCAATCTTGACATGTCCTTTGCATATACACGATTATTAATTACACCACAGGTTACTTGCCACTGTAGGTTACCTGCTTCTTTCAATTAGCATGAAGTATCATGGAGGTGAAGGATTAGGGAGAATCATGTAGCAAAGGAGATCAATATTTATTTGTTGGAGCAGTTGGAAGACTTGCACCAAGTGACACAAGGGTTTGAAGAAAGAAGAAAGATGGTTGCTTAGTCTGGAACCTAAGGTGGATTTACAAGAGCTGAATTTTGCCCATGGCCCTGCCACAGACTCATCCATTGCAAATGGTCAGTAAGATCCAGGATTGTTCTCATATAAATACAGCAGTCTGAAAACTAGAGTAGTCATCAGTGAAGGATAGTAAATTTTCAAAAAGGATATTCCTCCACTTCATTTTACTGACTCGTTTTAGCATAGATTTAATTGGCTTTTGGAGATGTCTGACCTTCTGTGCTGATTATTGAAAATGCCCAGGAGAATAGCATAAATTACGTGTCTAAACTTTAGAATAGCTAAAGTTAGTTAAGATTAATCCTGTTATAATTGCCTTCTTAAACTTGGTGTGACTGTCTTAAAACCCAGGGCCTGAGTTGCAGAAATATAGAGCAATGAATGGAAATGAACAGAAATTTTGCTTCAAACTTAGAAATAACTGCAAAATGTTAAATACTTTGTAAAACCAAGTCCCAGGAGTCCCAAAATCAATGAATACTTTTATCTTACTGCCTCCATTTCCAGTTTAGCACAGGAAGGATAATGATCCCGCATCTCAAAGGGACATTTGAAAAATTTTTAATTGTCATATTTATGAAGCTGCAAATACACTAATGAGTCCCAGAGTATTGCCCTGGGGGAAATTAATAATTTTGTCTTCAAAGGAGGGTTTGAACAGTGGGAACAGATAAAGCATAAGGCTATAACAATATAAAAATATTGATTAGCAGTTAATTACACAATAAATTAATGGTGCAATGGTCTTATGGAAAAATGAAAGAAAAAGTGTTATTTATATTGAGATAAAGTTTATTAAACTTGTGAATAGTCAACAAATGGCTTCTCTCTCATCTTGTGCTCTAAGTCTCATGTCTAGTGCATCTAATAATACTTAGTACAATAAATATTTAGATTTGCAGAATATCTCTGAGAGTAAAGAAAAACAAAACTGTGTTTTATAACTTAGTAACTCATAACTGGTTAAGCACCTAAAATAAATTGTGATAAACCAGTGCTCTAAACTTGTGTTTTTTCATGTCAAAAGTGTCCATCCATGAATTTGGTGACACTGAGGTACTAGTATGAAGTGGGAGGACTAAGATGTTGTATTTAACAGAACAGAAAGTTTCAACATGCAGAGTATCACCTAAGGGCAACTGAGATATTAAAAAAAAAGAAAACAACAACACAACCAAAACAACCGACAAGAACAACAAACATAACAATTTTTAAAAATTGATAAGATTTTCCTATATTTCTTTTTAATGTAAACTAGGATGAATGTGCAAATTACATCCGTGTCCTTCACCGATACAACAGAACGCACCTTCTGGCTTGTGGAACAGGAGCTTTTGATCCACTCTGTACTTTTATTAGAGCTGGACATCCATCAGAGGTAAGAGATTTTTTTTACAGTAGTGACACTGTTGGTCTACATTCCAGTAAAGCCTCTGTGGTTAAAACTAAGTATTTAAATTCAAGTACTCAGAGTTCATGCAAACTGTACAAGAGATACTTTCCTTGATGAAATGTAATGCTGGTCTGAAATTCTGTTTGGGCCTAGAAGAACTCGCTAATGATTGAAATTATATTATGGAGAATTATGTAAAGCACTCAGTTATTTTCATCTTGGAATTTTATTACCGGATAAGCTGATATAGCAATTTTTACAAAAATATTAAATATTTTGAAGTTTTTAGCTAAATCTGTTTTTTTAAATGAAATAATATACCACCTAAAACAAAATATATATTGGTTTGATGGGAGATGGAATACCTTCATAATTCTTTGTTAAATTCAGCTTCTTAGTGTTAATCATATGCAGCAAGTGTGTGTTAGCTCCTTAATGACACTTGTAGCTGAGTGAAATAGTGCTGCAGAAGATCAGTAAGTACAGCATATAATCAATAGTCAACATATTTCTTATGCAAAAATAGAAATGCCTGGATTTTTCAGAAATCTGGATCCTTGCTGTCTCAATTATATTAGATCAAGATTAAAGAATCAGCAAAACTACAATTCTCTCATTTTAAATTAGTGTATAAGCCTCCTTAGGCATTCAACTTAACCTCAATTATATGTAACTTATGTGCTGTTATATGGAGGCCACAACGTTGACTGGTTGATCCTGCTTCCATTCTGCTTCCTTACATCTTTGTTTCATTGCACCCTCATTACCAGTCTAAAAAACTTATGAAGTTTATGAATATATTTTGAAATTCCTGACATAAAAAAACCTTCTCGAAGGGCTGAATTTCAACAACTGTTACCAAATTGAAATTGTGGAGAAGTTGTAAATTACATTGCTAGGTCTGGACCTTGGAAGTTCAGACTTAGTGAAAATTAGACAAACTTATCCCTTTTCATATTAGTAATGTTAAATAAACTCTTTATTCAGTTATAAGGTAAAACACCTGGCAAAGGGTCCCACTGTTTATCTCAATGCCCTGAGCTACCCTGTAGTGAGGAGGGTTTCACTAGGCTGCTAGAGAGGCACGCGATGACCACTGTAGCAATCTGACCATGTATTCTAGGTCACACATTTTGTGAGGTGGCACTTAATAGATGGAGATGATCAGGAAGAGACTCTGGACAATGGTCTTGCTTAGTTGGTTGAGATTTAGTGATGTCTCCTGGTAAAGTTGAACACTTGTAATGGACCTGATAATAGAAGCACCATCCAAGAAAGTTTTTTTCTTCCCTCTACAGCCAGGAGTAAATTTTCAAGGTGAATGCAATCACTTGAGTCCCCACTAGAGGCATATGCAATTTTTTGAATACCATTTACAAAATAATACGGAGTGTACCATGAAGACCAAACCTTACTGATGACCATGAGAAAAAGTAAAGCTTCAAATTAGATAAAGTCACAAGAAACACATTGTCTTCTGAAATAGAGGAAGGAACTAAATAACATGCAATTTTACAATAAGCTAACTTTGTATGTCTTCTTTCCTCCTCTCAGGAGCCTTCTGTCAGGCTTCCTGATACAGTTTAAAGGAAGCAATGTCTGTATATTTAGGAATGCTATTTAAGAAAGCATAAGCAATAGGCTAATAAAAATAGAAACCAAACAAACAAAAAATGAGAAACAAGATGTGTATATAAGTATGTGTGGCCCATGATCCTCCCCTTATGTGTCACTGTCCTTCCTTCCCTTCTTTTTGTTTATTATTCTCCCTTGTCAAACTGAAGTTCTAAAATTTTACCCACACAGAAGTCATGGGAAAATCACAATTTTTCTATTTGTGTAGACCAAAAGGAAATATATTTGCTACACTAATCAGAAGCTATGTTAGTTTCCATTATCAGAAAAGCTGACCATTAGGATTAAAATAGACAGGTGCCATGTGTATAGTAGTTTAAAAATAACATATGGCATGTGATCGAGTGGGCAAATTGTAATCTTGCTTCCTTTGACTGATAAGGACATCACGTAGCTGCAAGAAGTGAAGGGACAAGATCCTTCCTCAGAAAATTGTGGTTTAGTCTCTGTTTGCTGATTCCTCTGTTTGGTCAGAGTATCCCAATCCAATGCCTTCCAATTCCTGTTCCTCCATTTCTTCCACGTCAGCTCCCTTGCCTCTTTCTCACAGTCTGACTGTCATGGAATGGAGAGCAACAGAAAAATGAGTCTTAAAAATATAATGATACTATTTTATTTCTAAAGAGAAACCAAAATATTTTTCTTAAATAAACAGTAATACTCAGACTTTTTGTTTTAAGGGTAAATACTGGTTTGTAATTTGAAGTTATATGTAGTTAAATGCAGTTTATAATATACAGCTGGCTGAAAGGAACAGTTTTATATATAGTTGACAATTTGATTAACTATTTTGAACTTCAATGCAAGTAATATCTATCTTTGACCTGCAAACTAAGTTGCTTCTGAACAGAATTTCTTGAAGTAACACAGGGTATATTTGGGGCTTATGTAAATTTGAAAAATGACACACTGCAGACATGCTGAGGACTAAATGGTGGGAGGTAAAAAGGAGTACTTATAGCAGATTTCTAAGTATCTAGATAAGCAGCTAATAGAGCATATGAAGCTAGATTCACTCTTCCATATGGAACTATGAATCAGCAGTATCAACATAAAGGAAATAATCTGTGGTCAGGGACCTTAACAAGAAGTTTCAGTAGTGCTTCCTGAGCTAATGGTGAAGGGAAGATGTGACCCTCTCAGTAAAAACTGCAGGGCTCTTACATTAAAAATTCTATATAAGTGAAAATTAGAGATATAGTTGTTTAAGAACATGGTAGAACAGTAGTACTATATTTTCTACAACTTTATCTCTTGCAATTTACTGAGCAGGCTAAGGAGAAACAATCTGGTGTAACAAAATATCCAGTTGTGGCTCTTGTTCTTGGTGCTCACTAGTCCCACGTTGCAGGAAAATTTATTTTGTTGGCTTGCAGCAAAAGTTTACATGAAGTCATCCATTTCTGAATAGTCATTTGGTAAGAAAACAAAGCATTATCATTTTTCCTTTGAACAGGGTGAATATCTCAAAGCTATGATCATAATCATATTATATGGCATCCTGATCTAGTATGGTTTTGAGAGGTGCAATCCAGCTTATGAAAAAGAGCATTTTGCTTCCTGTATAAAGATTTACATTCTTATGCAACTACAAATGCATACTTTTTTATCAAAACCAGGTTAAGCTGTGTCTTACAGAACACTAAGCTCTTGCCAAGAACAGCCAGAAGGAGATTTTTGTCTCCAAAAATAGGAACCCTAACCTACCTAATACCTAATTTTGTATCCTAAATTCTAGGATACACTGTATATTCATTTGAATGATTAAATATATAATAGCTTAATGCAGTCATTCTATTGTAATATCGGTTTAATTGATACTGCTTTGGAATTCCAGGCTGTTCACTTTAGTAAAGCTGTTGTCAGATGTTACCTTTCTAAAATTGTGCAAGTATAGTCACTAGCAGTAACATGCAGCTTTTTATCTTTTTCTAATTACTTTGACTCTGATGAATGTTGTTTTACAAAATTTAAACATTTCAACAAATTACCCAATGTTTTTCTGCCATTTATAAATTACAAATTGGGAAAAATATGAGTGCTGACTTTGCAGACAGATTAACTATTGGTGTTTGCAAAAGAACATATTACAAAATCTTGTTCAAAATAACATAAGCAAGTTAATTGCCAGCCAGTAATTGAGTTCATTATCACTTGCTTCATGAAATGCTTCCAAATGTCAGAAATCCATGCAGGAGAGAAAAGGTTGGGCTCCTCCATTTTCTATTTGTCTATCATCTAGACATGGAGGAGAATTAATTTCATTAAAATCAACATATTTTTCTAAAGAAAGCAGAAGTCAGAGACCCTCCAACCTCAATTTCCTATGATGAATTGAATATGTATCCTTCCCATGTGCTCTGTGAGAAAAAAGTTCAAGACAAGTTTTCAAACCAAACATAGAAGATGAAAAAAAGTGCAGAATAAAAAAATTTAGTCTGCTTTCACTCTCACCAAATAAACATCTGTTAGTGCTGTTGCCTTTGATGCCAACAAGCAGGAGCAGGGAGAAGCTTCTGGATCCTGTCACTTCCTTTTGCATTTATATCAACTTCTCAGTTTTGGTAGTAGAAGATGAGTACTGAAGGAAGAGCCTTCCACATCTAGCTGCTAGTAAAATAGTACTCTACTACTGTTTTATATAGTTCAAAATACCCCAGGTGAATTATGATGAACCTTATATAAATCAGATGAGCTACCTGCAGTCAGGAAATCATTTTATCTTAATGATTTATTCCTTCATTCATCAGAGCAACATGCATTTCGAGTGCTCCAGAGGCCTTATAATGATCCAAACTTCTTTATTAACTAACTCACAAAGCACCTTGAACAAGTCCAGATGAGACTTCCACCAAATACAGCTAAAGACATTATTCTGCCTCCACAGGACCTGCAAAATGAGTAGAAATTCCAAAAGAAAACAATGTGCAGAAGCAATATTCTAAGTTTTGCAAACTATATGATGAAAAGATAGAGCTGGTTCTTGGAGAGGAAGGCATCTCTGCAGGACAAAACCTGCTGAGAGAAAGAAATTTATGGGAAAGAGCAGTGCATGAAAAGTTTTTCTTCCAGAACATACTGTAAATTTTTAATATGTACGTTGAGCTGGCAGAGCACCATTTTCGATGCCTCATCTAACTCAGTAAACTGCCTACAGCTGTATTTCTCCACCTCAAAAGGCTGATGGAAGAAGTCACCCTTTCCACAAAATGCACTGGTGGTTTCTGCGAGTGTCCCTTAGGTTTTCTTAATCTGATGTATTCCTTATTTGCTGTTTTCTCTTCAATGAGCCAGATGAGATTCTGCTTATCAGAGAAAAACAGCTGTAAATTCTAAGTCTTTAAGGCCTG